GCTTGGATTATAAACATAAACCACCACCTACTGGGGCTGGAGAGATGGGTTAAGAGTGGTTAAGAGCATTGGCTGCTCTTCCAGAGGACCTGGGTTCAATTCCCAGCACCCACAACCGTCTGTAACTTCAGTTTCCCCGGATCTGACACCTTCACACCAGTGCACATAAAATAATGTTAAGATAAATTATTTTTTTAAGATTTTATTTATTTATTATGTATACAACATTCTGCTTCCATGTATATCTGCAGACCAGAAGAGGGCACCAGATCTCATAACAGATGGTTGTGAGCCACCATGTGGTTGCTGGGAATTGAACTCAGGACCTCTGGAAGAGCAGTCGGTGCTCTTAACCTCTGAGCCATCTCTCGAGCCCAAGATAAATTATTTTTAAAAAGCATAAGCTGCTACACCAACTGTGCAACACTCTTTAACACAGGGTTTCACACCGTCTTCCTAAACATCCTTCTGAAGAGAATATTATCTCCATTTTACAGACTGAAAGTGTGGCCAAGAGGTGTTACATGATCCTTTTCTCCAAGGTTACCTGGAGACAGAATTTGAAGAAAGGATGGCCAGGCAGTGGTGGCGCACGCCTTTAATCCCAGCATTGGGAGGCAGAGGCAGGCAGATCTCTGTGAGTTCGAGGCCAGCCTGGTCTACAAAGTGAGTTCCAGGACAGGCTCCAAAGCTACACAGAGAAACCCTGCCTCGAAAACAAAAACAAAAACAAAACAACAACAAAAGGAATTTGAAGAGAGGAATTCTCATGACCATGCCACTTCTAGAAGAAATGCTAGTATTTCATGTCACATGAAAGAATGAAAAAATTTCTAACCTGAGAGATTAGATAATTGGCAGCCGGAGAGATCAGCCTATTTTTTAAAAATTAAAGGAGACAGCAATAAATTCTTTTTTTTTTTTTCAGCCACGATAACAGTCGTGGCTGTCCTGTAACTTGCTATATGGACTAGGCTGGCTTTCAAACTCTCAGAGATATGTCCACCTCTGCCTCCCCAGTGCTGACATAACTTCTTTCTGATGGGTTTATCTGAGAGTGCTACTGGAGTATACTGGTGGAGATGCCGATAGACAGCTGCAAATGAGAGGCAGAGGTGTGACAGGAGTTTGTAAGCTAGGCAGGCAGTGACTTGGCACCAGCAAACACCAGTGACAGATTATAAACTTCTTAAGCCGTACCCTGAGTTTGTCATCTTGCTCACACTACACTGTCACTTCTTCCTCAGGGCTAAAGTTTTCAGGGGGGCCATCAAAAAACAGTGACTGTCCAAAAGGTAAATTTGGAACATTAATCCTGGAGAAACAAAAAGTGTCACCCAGGTTCACAGACTGAAACTTCCATCAGTCACACTCTGTGCCTGGTGTCAGGAGACTGATTTTGACTATTTTTATGCAAGTAACGATGGCCTCCCCTGGAGGCCAGACAAAGACATCAGATACCCTAAAACTGGAGTAACAGATGGTTGTGAGCTGCTATGTGGGTGCTGAGAATTGAACTTGGGTCTTCTGGAAGAGAAGTGCTCTTTTTTGTTGTTGTTGTTTGTTTGTTTGTTTGTTTTAGACAGGGTTTCTCTGTGTGGCTTTGGAGCCTATCCTGGCACTTACTCTGGAGACCAGGCTGGCCTTGAACTCATGGAGATCTGCCTGCCTCTTCCTCCCGAGTGCTGGGATTAAAGGCATGAGCCACCAACCCCCGGCTGAAGCCAGTGCTCTTAACCAGCTCCAATAATACTGTTATTCTTCAAAACTTTTTTTTAAACAGCCAGTGATGGTAGTGTAGACGTTTAATCCCAGCACTTGGGAGCCAGGTGGATCTCTGTGAGTTCCAGGACATTCTTATCTATATAGCACTTCCCAAGCCATCCAGGGATATGTAAGGAGACACTGTCTTAAAGTTCGTTTTTAACTAATTTATTTTGTGTATGGAGTGGGATCATTCATGCCACAGGATGCATGTGGACCTCAGAGAAAATTTATAGGTGTTGTTTCTCTCCTTCCATAGTGTGGATCCCAGAGATCAAACCAAATTTGCCAGGCTGGACAGCAAGTCCCCTTTACCTGCTGAGTTATCCTGCCAGCCCATGTTATTTTTTAATAGTCACCGTTTCACTTGTTCATTCACCCATCAAATGTCCTCCCTGAAGACTTCTGACAGTCAGGTTATGAATGAAGCAATTAGGAATCACTGGAGTTCTGGACAGGAAAGTAACAGGATTCATTCAACAGAATTTCGGCAGAGCTGTCTCTGGATGACTGGACAGAGGTCATCTAAGGAAATGTCTAGGGTTGGGGCTGATGAACCTGGTACATAGCCAAGTTTGGGAACAGTTTTCTGATTTCAGTGCAATAAGGAAAGAAATGTACTTTATTAAAGAGGGCTGTAGTAACCACATAATGTGACCTCAACAGTGGGTGGCTGTCCTAACCAGGTGAGAGGTGATGAGATACAAAGTGATACACACTTGACTCATGGAGATGGGACAGGTGGAGCTCCCCACTTCCTCCTCCTGTAAGAGAGCCCTAAATAGTTTGTTTATTTATCATTACTATTATTTCTTTTTTGAGACAGAGTTTCTCTGTGTAACAGCCCTGGCTGTTCTGGAACTCACTCTGTAGACCAGGCTGACCTCGAACTCACAGAGATATGTCTGCCTCTGCCTCTGGAGTGCTGGGATTAAAGGTGTGAGCCACCACCCAGCTGGATATTTTGTTTTTAAAAACTGCTTTGGGCACTGGAGGGATGGCTCAGTGGCTAAGAGTGCTTTAGAGGACGTGTGCTCAATTCCCAGAATCCTTTAGAGGACCTGTGCTCAATTCCCAGAATCCATGTTGGGCAGTTCACGATGGTCAGGAAGCATAGCTGACCTGGAAGGGCATCTGTGCATACATTTAACACAGACATATACATATAAATGCAAATAAACTTTTTAAAAATTTTTTTCAAATAAACTTTTTAAATTAAAGATGTATTCATTTTTATGTGGTGTTTTGCCTGCATGTATGCTTGTGTGAGGGTACCAGATCCCTTGGAACTGGAGTTACAGACAGTTGTGAGCTGCAATGTGGGTGCTGGGAATTGAACCCATGTCCTTTGGAAGAGCAAACAGTAAGTACTCTTAACCACACTGAGCCATCTCTCTAGATCAGTAAATATATATATTTATTGTGTGTAGACCAGGCTGGCCTTGAACTCACAGAGATCCACTTGCCTCTGCCTCCCGAGTGCTGGGATTAAAGGGGTGCGCCACCACTGCCTGTCTTAAATATTTTTTAAAAATGAAACTTCTGTTTTTCTAATTCGTGTGTGTGTGTGTGTGTGTGTGTGTGTGTGTGTCTGTGTGTGTGTGTGTGAACGTGATGTATAAAAGTTTAGGAGTTATTCCTTTGAGGCCCACTCTGATGAATCTAGAGTTTGTGATATCCTGCTAGGCTGGCAGCCAGCAAGTCCAGCAATTAATTCTCTTATCTCTGTCCCTACAGCCTGAGGTTACAGGTGGGCAGGACAGGACACTGACTTGTTATGTGGTATTAGGATCTAAACTCTGGTTCTCATGGTTGCAAAAGTGCTCTTAATAGACTCATCTCTCCAGCCTCTTGAATATTCCTTCCTTCCTCCCTCCCTCCCTCCCTCTCTCTCTCCCTCTCTCCCTCTTTCTTTCTTTCTTTCTTTCTTTCTTTCTTTCTTAGACAGGTTTCTCTGTGTGATGGCCCGGACTGTCCTGGAACTTGCTCTGTATATCGGGCTGGCCTCCAATTCACAGAAATCCACCTGCCTCTGACTCTGCTGAGATGAAAGGTGTGTGCCACCACATATTTCTTTTTCTTTGCACTTGTTTGGAAGATTTCCTCACAAAGTGTTCTCAAGCCTTCTAGTTTTCCTACCCTTTCATAAAGCCAGGAGCAAAACAAGGTACAGCAAATAAGGGCTTACAAGTTTCGAAGCGTTTTGTTCACGGACCGGATACATCAGTGTAGGAGTAGATTCCATTAGACAAGTTCAGACTGGGAGGAGAAAGGGCAGGCCTTAGAGATGCTCCCTGGATCACCCTTGGGAACTTCTCCGGGACCTGAAGACAGAGGGTGACCCCATTTTTCTCTCCAAAGTTTTTACTGGGCGTCAGAGCAGACAGTTCAGGAAACTATAAAGAAACCCTAACAGCTTGAGTGCCGCCTCCTCAAATATTAACATCAACGACTCAACAGTAAAATTCATTAAATTCATCTCCTTCCTCCCACAAGCATAGATCCAAAGCTAGGAGACAGAAGTGACATGGCCATTCTTCATGGCCCAGCTTGCTCTTCCTTATTCCAGCCTGGGTTTCACAAGCAAATTGACACCTCAGTCTCTGGAAGTGGGCACCGGTGGCCAAGGGTACCTCCACTTTATCTTCACTGCCAAGTAGGTGAAGATGAAAGCAAAATGAGGCAATGGCTACGGCTGGTTGTGCCAGAGGAGGACTGGTCTGCCTGGGTATTCAGTGAAATCAAGGATTGGGGCAGGGGGTGTTTATGAGTCAACCTGGAGCAGCTGACGGAAAAAAAAAAAAAGAAAGAAAGAAAAAGGAGGAAGACACTGGGAGGAGCGAGGGACTACTACTGGACTTGGTGCATGCTTGGTTCATGGGGGAGGTGCCCTTGAGGAGGATCTGTCAGAGAGGAGGATGCGGATGACACCCAGGGGCGGGACGGCGATGACTCTCGGCTAAGATTGGATAACTGCTGAGGGCGGGAGCTGGCCTTGCACAGCCTGGGTCCCCAGTTTAGTAATTGGCTATATATACGGCCAGCCGGGGCCACGACAGCGCGAGCGGGCTGGTCAGCAGCGCACGTGCCAGGCTCCGGGGCCCTTCTTCCTACGCACAAGTCCTTTCTGTCCTGGTTTTCTTCGTCCGGTCCTGAAATCCACTCCATCTTCGGCTCTCTTGGCTGTCGCCCAGCCCCCATCCCAAGCTCTGAACCTCGTCCTCTGCAAAAGCGAAATGGCCACATCCATGAATTTCTCACGTGGTTTGGAAGCGGAGCTGATCCAACCTTACAACTTCGAGATGTCTCAGGACTTAAGGCCCTTTTTGGATGAGTACTGGTGAGACCTGGTCAGGGGGAAGGACCAACTAACAGCTTTGAGAGGAGTGGAAACAGGGAGTGAATGCAGGGGTACTGGCTCCAACCCCCACCCCCACCCCCTGCCCAGCTCTGTCCTTCAAGGTACATTTCAAAGAGATTAGAGCTGGAAGAAAGAATCCAGAAATGAGGAGATGGGGAGAGGGGTGTGGGAGGAGGCAAGAGGGAAAAATGACAACTGCATGAGGACAAAACATGAGGACTGAGCTTGGCCTGAATGGAGCACTGTTAGGTGATCTCAGAGAGGACCTGCCTGAGCAGGTGCCTAGGGTCAGTCTGTCCTGGGCAACTATCAGGTTCTCCAAATGTCCCATCTTTACGGCTGTGAAGATTACTACAAGGTTGGGAACCCTTTCCAAGATTTCCCAAGGTTCTCTGTCTTACCCCTAAATCTCCCCAGGCACATTCTGTGGGCCGTTTTTGTTGTTCAATCAACTCACTATGAGCCAAACAGGCAGAAGATGTTGCTACACCCCCCTTACATCACAGCCTGGATGGAGTAGTTACTGGCTGCGGGCAGACAACTGTCATCTGCCCCCATCTCCACCGAGAAAGTAATAATCACAGAAACCTTGCATATGGCCGCTACCCTGTGCTAGGTATTCCCCAACCCCGTGCCCCATACAAACAAGGAAGCCTAAATGTCACACTGGTGGAACTCTAGTCTAGAGGAGTCCCTTGGGGGAGATGAGCGGGCTCTCTGCTAAGCAGTGCCCACTTGTGAATAGCTCCCCTCTGCTCTCTGCCCTGCAGGGTAAGTTCATTCCTCATCGTTCTAGTCTATCTGTTGCTCATCATTGTGGGCCAGAGCTACATGAGAACACGGAAGGGCTTCAGCTTGCAGGGGCCTCTCATCCTCTGGTCCTTCTGTCTGGCCGTGTTCAGGTAAGGCACTCCTCCACCCCATACTCTGCCTGTTCTTTAGTCCTTACACCTCTGTTTTTAGCCCTGAGGGTTTCTAAAATCCTCAGCTGCATTGACTTCTTTCCCACATTACTTTGTTTTCCTCCTTTCTTGGACTCAAAATGGCAGTCTCTGCTCTGTTCTATACCTATTTATTAATTTAGGTTTTTCGAGACATGGCTTCACTGTGTGACAGCTTTGGCGATCCTGGATCTAGCTCTGTAGACCAGGCTGGCCTTGAACTCACAGAGATCTACCCGCCTCTGCCTTCCAAGTGCTGGGAATAAAGGCATGCGCCACCACCACCTGGCCTATAACTTTTAAAAATGTTTGCTCTTAAAGACAGCCTCTCAAAGCTGTATCCTAGACTGCTCTAATTGCCACTCTGGAACCCAGGCTGGCCCCAGACTCACTGCAACCTTCTTGCTGCAGTCTCCCGAGTTCTAGGAATACAGATGCTAGGCTCTACTCCATCCCTCTCATGCTCAGGGAATCATACATCCAACAAATTTCTCTAGCTTTAAGTATCTTAGTTCCTGTCAAGTGTTGGTGGGGCATGCCTTTAATCCCAGCACTCGGGAGGCAGAGGCAGGTGGATCTCTGTGAGCTCGAGACCAGCCTGGTCTACAAGAGCTAGTTCCA